GATGAGACTAATGTGCCTTCTATTTCCACAAGTTTTTCATTCATTCACTCAGTACCTACAATACCCTAGTGCTTGCTGTGAGTGTCCTCCTAGAAAAGCATATCAAACTTCCTGGCAAAACTGGGGAAGACTCCAAAACTTGGAGTTCTGAACACATGAATTCAATTCTTAAAGAACTGAATTTTGAAATTTGAGTAAGGGCCAACCAGGTGGAGACAAAGTCACTCCAAAAATATGGAGGAGCTCCTGCAAAGACAGGGTCTGAAAAGAATGCAAGGTTTAAAAATAAAACAAATGGCAGTGGATGCAGCATAGCTCGGATGGAGTAGAGTATGGGCAAATAAGGTCAACGGTTCCCAACTTTATGGGGAACCCACTCTTCAAGGGGCTGCTTGGAAATAAATGGGATCATATTGGATTGTCAAAAAGAAAAGAAGTTAGAGCTTGCCATTGCCATTTAGTACTGAGGGACCAGGTAAAATAAACATTCTACGATGTGCAGGACAATCCCACACAGTGAAGAGTTGTCCGTAAAAATGTCAGTAGAGCCCCCTTTGAGAAATACTGGGAAGTAGGTAAGGAATTAACAAAGTCTAGAGAATTTAACTCTAGGGCCTCAGCATATCCTTTAAAATCTGAGATCACAACCTCCATTTCACTCACTAAATATTTACTAAGTGCTAAAAGATAAACTAAGGCACATTAAAATTTTAAAGAGTTTATTTGAGGTCAGGCACAGTAATCCCAGCACTTTGGGAGAACAAGGCAGGTGGATTGCTTGAGCCCAGGAATTTAAGACCAGCCTGGGCAAATGGTGAGATCCTGCCTCTACAAAAAATACAAAAATTAACCTGGCATAGTGGTGCATGCCTGTAGTCCCAGCTACTTGGGAGGCTGAAGTGGGAGGATGGCTTGAGCCCAGGAAATCGAGGCTGCAGTGAGCCATAACTGCACTACTGCCCTCCAGCCTGGGTGACACAACAAGATACTGTCTCCAAAAAACAAAAACAAGAAAATGTTTATTTGAGCAGACAATGGTTAACTCATTTATGCGGGAGGTTGCAAATTTTTTTGTGTGAAAAATCAGACCTTGGCGATGACCTTGAGCAGGATATAAATAACTCCCACAAGCTTAGCATTCCAATAATGGAGCACTAGGCATATTAATGAATTAGTCAGCTCCAGAATGCAAGCAACATGGGGCTGCACCAAAGGGACACAGTTAAAAAGCTTTTGTAGAGTAAACGGCACAAGCAAGGCCAAGAAAATCTATGATTGGTCAAAGTGGAGTAGTCTTACTTGGATCATTCCAGTAAAAGTCAGCGGTTAGAGGTTAGTTGGTTTCTCATTTGTTAAGCTACAAGTTTCATTTTCCTAGAATAAGACCATTTAGACTGAGTTGGGTGTAAGTTTGTTTATGTAGGAACCCAGAGCACTGGAGCTTCCTCGGGCAATGGCCTCCCAATTATTTTAACACAGGAAGCTGTTTTTGCTGGGCAATAAATATGTTTCCTTCTTTCCTTTGACCATGATGAAGCTTGGAACTTTGTGGCCTACCTTTAATAATTGTATAACATTCACAATATATTTTCAGTATAACTCACCCTAATCACATCTTTCTATTCAAGTTTCATATTTCCACAATCTTGATTTCTCTTTATTTTTTATGTTATTATGTATTATATAGTTTATAAGCTACCTCAAATACTTTTGGAACTAAGCTACAAAAGCAAAATGAAAAAACAGAAAAGAAAAAGAAAACTAGATAGTAAGATGAGAAGAAAAAAATATTACACGGAGCCCCCAGATCATCCTGAGAGGTTTAAGATACTTTTTTTGTTGGTTTTTTTTTTGAGAGAGAGGCGGTCTATGTCACCCAGGATTGAGGGCAGTGGTGCCATCTCAGCTGACTGCAACCTCCACCTCCCAGGCTCAAGCGATCCTCCCACCTCAGCCTCTTGAGTAGCTGGGACCACATGTGTGCACCACCATGCACAGCTACTTTTTTGTATTTTTTGTAGACACAGGGTTTTGCAATGTTACCAAGGCTAGTCTCGAACTCCTCAGCTAGGGCAGTTTGCCTGCCTCAGCCTCCCAAAGTGCTGAGATCACAGGCATGAACCACTGCACCCAGACTTGGTTTAGGAGACTTTCAAAAAGAAGTATAATACAGTCTTTGCCTTCAATAGTTTGTAATCAAAAATTTTTTTTTATTTTTCAGAATACACATTCTTTTCAAAGTAATCAAATTTTTAAGTAAAGATTCAAATTGAAAAGAACATCAGAGAATAATGGATAATAAAAAACAGTGATAAATTATACAACCACTGTTTGAAGAATTAGTATGGATTAAAATAATTAAAATTGCATGTATTACTATGTATTAAGAACTGGCAACAAACAGAGCAACTTTTTGAGGTAAATTACTACGATTTTATTTATTTTATAAATAAGGAAATTGAGACAGAGAGGGTAACTTGTCCAAGATAAGACAGCTGTTAAGTGTAGCAATTTGACCTAAGGCAGTCTGGAACCAGAGCCTGTGCCCTACGGGAGTTAGATTTCAGTTAATCCTTGAATTATAGGAGGATACAGAAAGAAAAATAGAAGGGATGGGGGCAGTGGCAGTGAACCTTGGAACAGACTGAAATGAGGTACACCAGTAAAGAACCTGAATGGAGAGTATAGATTGAGGGATACTGAGAATCTAGGGACAGGGTGCAGGAAGTTTACAGTCTTAAAACTCAAAGGAAGCTTGGAGAGGTAGCTCTCGCCTTTAGTCCTCACTACTCAGGAGGCTGAGGCAGGAGGACTGCCTGAGCCAGGAGTCAAGGCTGTGTAGTGCCTTCTAATTGTGCCTCTAAATAGCCACTGCACTCCAGCCTGGGCAACTTACAGAGACTCCACGTCTTAAAAAACAAACCAAAAAAAGAAACCAAAAAAACCCAAAGGAGATTCCATTTAAAACAGTTGGTAACAGGAAACCATTGTAGGTTCTTGAGCTCAGAAGAAATGATAAAAAGGTTTCCTCGGAAAGATGTTACATGACAGTGATATGAAATAACCCTAGCTTCAAAGCTAAACTCCTATTACTAAGCACTCTTCCTGGATCCTATAAACCTATGTGATCAGGTAAGCACATTAGAGAAGTCTTGTCTCTGCAGTTTTCAGCAACCATTCCCTAATCAGAATTCCTTCAGGTACAGCTTATTCTCCTATTCTCCATTCCCTAACTTTCTAATTGTTTTATTATACTCAGGTGGCTTGTCCCCTGAAAACATTTGTTTTCAACAGATAATCACCAAATGATCTCTATGGCTTTTTTTTTTTTCTTAAGATTCCCTGATTATATTTATGATTCAAACACAACCTCCTGGGTCCCAAACACATCTCCAGGCTTCAAAGATAATCATCAAATCAAGCCCATCTTAAGAAATCGTCTGTTAAGTTTTACTCTCCTTGTTTTTCCTAAAGGGCTGCTTTACCTTTCTCAGAAATGTATTAGGCATCAGGAACTACTGTCAACATATAGTTTGTCACAAAACATTATACATAACTTGAATGGCCCACCATGTAGCAAAATCTCAGTTAACCTTATCATAATAAAACAGAAGGTGGCAAGGGAAAAGCAGGAGACAGGGGAAATAATCTTTTAACACTCCACATTCAAATGAATGCAGTTTAGAACTACTGTTTCCACTAATTTCTTCAATTTAAAATATCAATAACAATTTTTAAACTCTGCAATCTGCAAGACTTTAATTTTAATTTCTCAATACTCTGGATTTATTTTTTGGTCAAGGTTCTGTAACATTTCCTCTGGTCACTGTTTAACCCTTCGGAAGCAATGAGAAAGGATTCTACTTGGGGTCCTAAGATGTATTTGAGTACCACACAGGGCCGATGTCCTCCCATCCTGAGAAGCATAAACTTGTTTTTGCCACTAAAGAATAGTGACCATTGTCCAATAACAAAAGTTATAAATATGATTCAAAATGAACCTGTGACAAAGACTTATTAAACTCACAATGGAGCAAGCTGAATGGCTTAGTGCGTTCAAAAGCATTTCAGGAACTGAGCATAAACACTGAAGAAAGGACAAGTTTGATAGGTTAGATAGAAAAATGGTTAATATCGGCCGGGCGCGGTGGCTTATGCCTGTAATCCCAGCACTTTGGGAAGCCGAGGCAGGCGGATGGATCACAAGATCACGAGTTCAAGACCAGCCTGTCCAACATGGTGAAACCCCGTCTCTACTAAACATACAAAAATTAGCTGGGCATGGTGGCAGGCACCTGTAGTCCCAGCTACTCAGGAGGCTGAGGCAGGATAATTGCTTGAACCCGGGAGGCACAGGTTGCAGTGAGCCGAGATCATGCCACTGCACTCCAGCCTGGGTGACAGAGCGAAAATCTGTCTCCAAAAAAAAGAAAAAAGAAAAATGGTTAATATCCTACAACGCAATAGAACTACAACCTTTAGGAGTACTGTATTTTTTTTCTATCCCACTCAAATAATTTGCATCTCCATTACTCCAAAAGATGTTAACTACAAAGCCTAGGCCCTAATCAATATCATCATGCCAAACAAAATACACTCCCCTAGACATCTAAATCATCTTCAGGTGGGCCTATTAAACAGGCTCCATTTTGACTCTGAAAAAAACATTCTGTCATCCTTTTGCCTTATTTCCAATACTTTTGTAATTTTTACCACGAAAAGTTTCTATAAATCAGTCAACTATTCCTATATCATTCTCCCGCCCTCCCCGCCAGTCCTTGATTTTATAGGTTTTTTGGGAGGTTTAAAAAAAAAAAAAAAAGAAAAACCTGTTGGCTCTAAATACCAAGTTATTCCTCCTGATACTTGATGAATCTGAAACTTCAAATTAAGTTGGACTCAGCCACCGGAAACCCCAGTAATTTAATAGTTTCAACGTCACATGGCCAAAGATTTGCTATCAGTATGTGGATTTTAAACACAAGGTAGTAACTACCCACTTCGAGGGTGCTGCAGCATTTGGGTATTGGGCCAGGAGTGCTGGTGACACCGTGTGCGCGACGGGGACTGGGTCCCGGGGAGGGAGTGTCCTCGCCCTTCCCCGCTCGCCCCGAGCGCGGCGGCCAACACAGGCCCGCAGTTCACCGTCGGGGACCCGCTTCCCTGGCCTTTTGTTCAGGACTGGGCCGTGTCCCGCCTACCCGCGCGAGCCCTTCCTCCCTGTCCTAGGAGTAGGGCGAGGACCGTGTGGGAAGCAGAGCCGGGAGGCGGCGACCGGCAGGGGCTGTGGGAATACTCACCCCGCTCCGCTCGGCCCCTGACCCCGCAGCCCAGCCCGGGGAAGGCGGGGCGACGGGGCCAGGGGGAGGAGAGCTGGAGAGTGGAACCGAGCGCCCTGCGAGGCCACCGCCGCGCCGGTGCCCCTAGGGGGCTGAACGATGGGAATACGGGGGCCTCGAGGACGGAGGAACACCCAAGCCAGCCCGCCCCGAGGCCAACCAGAAGTGGCCGCGGCCTCCTTCAGTCAGAGCCGCCAGCGGCCGAGTCGGAGCGTGCGCATTGCGCCTTCCCGTGCGCCGTGGGGGCCGCCTAGCGCAGGCCGGTGACGTGATCGGCCGCGCGCTCCGGGCAGGGGCGGGGCTGGGACCCAGGCCGGGACTGGGAGGGGGTGGAGAGGAGGGAAGCGAGACTTCCCTGCCACCCGCTTCCACTGCCGCCAAGGCCCCGCCCCTCGCTTGGCGGGCAGCTCTCATCCCCCCCCACCCCCACCTCCAACCCAGCGCAGGCGGTGCCCTCCGTGGAGCACAAAGGCGGCTCGTTGAGTGGGGAGCGGCTTACTAGCAGCCCTCTAAGAGGTTGGAGAGCCGTGCCAGCATTCACATACTACAAAAAGTCCTGTAAACACCACAATTAAGCACAAGCACGGCTACCCCTTGAAAACTTACGGATGGAGGGAGAAGTTAGGAATTCGAATATTGACAATAGTACCATCTGTGGCACATATCCCAGAGGAGAAAAAAAAAAAAACTAGCAGCAAAATTAAATTGGGGCGAAACGGTGGGGATAAAGACTAGAAAAATGTAAGAGTAACAGGGGTAATCGAACTGAAATAGCAGACATCTGAAAGAAAACTAGCATCTGCTCCTTCTAACAATAGAGTTAAATGTGTTGGAAATGAAAGGAGAAAATGCAGGCGAAGAAGTGAAAGGAAAACCTGCCTTCAAACTACATGACATGGTTTTGATCTTGTACTACAGTTGTATAAGATGTCATCATTGGAGGAAACTACGTGATAGGTACACGGGACTCTAGGTGCTGGAGTATTTTTGCAGTTTCCTGTGTCTATAATTATTTCCAAATAACAAGTTTTCCTTTTAGACAGAATACTGATTAGTGGCGACCAGGGTGAAGGGCTGGAGGAAGGGGTTGACTAGAAAGGTGCTTGAGAGCTTCTATACCGTGATTGTGTTGGTGGCTACACCACTGTTTGACGAAACCCGTAAGAGGTATAAATTTTACTTTATGTAAAATAGTTTAAAACTCAAAATGGTGCGACTAATAAAAATGAACTTACACTAACTTTTTTTAGCAACTATGGCTATAAATTAATTGGTAGCTGCCAATTTAGATTATCCATTTAATTTTTTTAAAAGCACAAGGCAGTGTGTTCTCAATGAGAGCTTAAGTAGACCAGGTATCTCCATCAACTTTAAGTATTTACCTTAGAAACGTATTTCACAGATGAAAACAAGAATGTGGCTGGGCGCAGTGGCGCACGCCTGTAATCCCAGCACTTTGGGAGGCCGAGGTAGGAGAATCTCTTGAGCCCAGGAGTTCGAGACCAGCCTGGGCAACACAGTGAGACCTCATCTCTACAAAAATGTTTCAAAATAAGAATACATTTTTTAAAAAAGAATGCACTGCTTTGCATCGTACTCAATATTTTAGAAACTCAGCGCACCAACCACCATGTTAATTAAAAAAAATTTTTTTTGCACTGGAGGTGTTTTAAAGTTTCATAATTCACATGCCAAAAACAAAGAAACTAAAATAAATAACTCAGTTAACCCCCATGTACTTCCTGTCATCATATCCCTCATGGCAAAGAATGATATTGGCCTGTTTATGTGTTTACTGTACAACACTATAAAGTGCTTTAAGGCTAGGGTCTGTCATCACAGCATTTCAAGGTTGGAGCAGGGCTCCTATAGCTCTCCTCTCTGATCACTGAAGTTCACTGAAAAATCTACTCACAAAGGGCAGAGTAATTGGAGGAAAGGCAAGCAAGTTTATTTAGCACATATACATGAGAACCTTCAGAATGAAGACCCAAAGATACAGGGAAAATTGTAATGTCCATTTGTACATCCAACAAAGTATGGACAGCCATGTACAAATATGATTGGACAAAAGGGTATGCTCTAATGCTAATAGCCTGAGTGGGGAAACCCAGTAAGGCCTGTCTGTCTAGATTCTTCTTGGCCTCTCTGAGCATGCACTCCTACCTTCCATGTGTGGGGCGGGACCCTCTCTGCAATGACGGTCTTAGGACCTACAGTCAAAAAAGGTAGATCAGATAATTTCTTTATGGCCAGTTTTTACAAAAAAAGGTGGGGGGAAAATTAAAGTAATATTTCCAGGATTTATGACTGGCTTTGGGGAAAAGAGGTTCTAGTTTCTATGGCCCGCCTAGTTTCTATAGCTAGCCTCAGGGGAGAATGGGACCAAGAGACAGGAAGGCAGGAGAAGGTCAGAGAAAAACTTTTGCTTCTGAGAGTTTCATTGTGGGGTATTATTTTCTAGTCCCGATAGTCCTAACTAGTAGTAAGTATTCTTGGAATAAAACAAGGAATTGATCACAAAAAGAAAGGGAGTTAAAACTTATTGAACACCTATTATAGTCCAGAAGCTTTATATGTACATAGTTAATCTCATAACTTCTTGACATACCCATTTTATAATATCTTAATTATTAAATCCTTTTAATACTTATTTTATTAGATTTCTCTGTTTCATTTGGACATGTCGCTCACTTCTAAAAAGTCTTGCTTCCTTTCGCTTATGTAAAACCCACAGTCCCCTGATTCTCCTTCCAGCTCTATGGCCATTTTTTTTTTTTTTTTTTTTTTTAAAGATAAAGTCTCCCGCTCTTTCACCAATGGCCTGGTCATAACTTACTGGTCATAACTTACTGTAACCTGGATATTCCTGGCCTCAAGCAGTTTTCCCGCCTCAGCCTCCCAAAGCGCTGTGATTACAGATGTGGCCATTCTTTTTTCTCATTGTTTTAGGCTTTTGTTTGTCCATTATGCTTTAATGCTCATGTTTCACACAGAGCCTTCTAAAAGTTGAAACTTCAACTTTTTTGTTTTTTTGTTTTAGTTTTCTGATACTCATGTAAATTTTTTTAATTCAAAATAGGGTTATACAAACTGCATTACATTCAAAGTCATTTTCCTTTAACCAATAAACACTTTTATTATCAAAAATTACAATGCAGTATAAATGTGTCTTTCAAGATGTAATTACAGGATTTATTTAAAAATAATAATTCATAATATCCTTTCGAGTGTATGGTCCTATAAAGGGTCACAACTTTTTAAGTTCCATGGTAAATGTCTTATTTACTCAATCTTGCCAGTTCTTATTACTTGCATGCATATATCCTTTCTGCTCATATCCCATAGGTCACACCTGTATTCAAGGAAGGAAGAAAATGTAGCGTCTAGCCATGGGCTCAGTCAAACCTTGACAGGGTGGGATTGTTTTATTATTAAAAGAAAGAAGAGAAGAATAGATACTAGGGAAAAAAAGCTATCTCTACTACAGCTTATAGTAGGCAGATCTCTCTTCCATCACCCTCCAGGAGGTCCTTAGGGAAAGATAAATTATATAAAAGAGTTAGAGGAGGTAATCTGATTGGATGGTAGAGATAAACTTGTCTTGAAGCTGTGTGTGCATAGCACTTACTTAAAAGTGTGAGAGAAAAAACACTAGTAGGCAAAACTATAGAGACAATAAAAGATCAGTGGTTGCAAGAGTTTGGGGGAAGGGAGGCAAAGAGGGAAGAGATGAATACGTGGAGAATAAGGCATTTTTTAGGACAGTGAAACTATGATATATGTTACTGAAATAGTGGCTATGTGACATCATGCATTTGTCAGAACTCACATTGCAAAGACAAGGAACAAGGCTAGAATCTCATAACCCAGGAGGATATGCTATTGACATGCAGTTTTTCTACATCCCCAAAAGTAAAAGAACATAGGGCCCTCTCAACCAATTCCAATGGGAGCAAAAAAGCACCTGGATAATAATAGACCACTGCCAGAATGATCCTTGTAGAACATTGGGTTCCCCTGATAAATCTAAAATACAATGTATAGTTCCCAACTATCTTCAAATGCTTGAAAGATTAAAAAGTCCAACCACGAATGTTAAAAATGTAGACAAAGCAGGCCAGGCATGGTGGCGCATGCCTGTAATTCCAGCACTTTTGGAGGCCCAGGCAGGCGGATCACTTGAGGCCAGGAGTTCGAGACCAGCATGGCAAGTATGGTGAAACCCTGTCTCTACTAAAAATACAAAATTATTCGGGTGTGGTGGTGGTGCATGCCTATAATCCCAGCTACTTGGGAGGCTGAGACATGAGAATCACTTAAACCTGGGGGTGGGGGCAGAGAGTGGGGTAGGAATGGGAGCAGAGGTTGCAGTGAGCCAAAATGGCACCACTGCACTCCAGCCTGGGCAACAGAGCAAGACTCAGTCTCAAAAAAAAAAAAGGCGGGGAGACAAAGGAAATACCGAAATTCACTACATAAAATATTTCAACTTATTCTGACTCTTACTTAGATTGCTCAAACTGGATCATTTCCAGAAATGTGTTCTAACCTTCATAGTACAAACTAGACTCTCAAGAATAAGATACTAAAAACTCAAGCACAGGTAGAAGCTATAATCCCATTACTATCCTTTTTTTTTTTTTTTGAGACAGAGTCTGTCTCTGTCGCCCAGGCTGGGGTGCAGTGGCGTGATATCAGCTCACTGCAACCTTCTTCGCCTCCTGGGTTCAAGCAATTCTCTGGCCTCAGTGTCCTCAGTAGCTGGGATTACAGGCGTGAGCCACCGCGCTCAGCCTAATTTTTGTATTTTTAGTAGAGACAGGATTTCACCATGTCAGTCAGGCTGGTCTTGAACTCCTGACCTCATGATCTGCCCGCCTTGGCCTCCCAAAGTACTGGGATTACAGGCATGAGCCACTGCGTCGGCCTCATTGCCATGCATTCTTAGCTATAGCACATCACTGCTGCAATCTACATTACCTTTATCCTTTGCTAACATCAAAACCTTTACAAATAATTTTCAGTAACCTTGGGACTTTTTTTAAATGTTTCTTTATTTTATTTAATTTATTTATTTATTTATTTTTGTATGGAATCTTACTCTGTCACCCAGGCTGGAGTGCAGTGACGCCATCTGGGTTCACTGCAACCTCTGTCTTCCAGGTTCCAGTGATTCTCGTTCCTCAGCCACCCGAGTAGCTGGAATTACAGGCGCACGCCACCATGCCCGGCTAATTTTTTTTACTTTTAGTA